GGTCTCGCCAAGTTGCCCGGGTGGGTCTCGAACCCGCGGGCTCAGACAATCCACTCACCTCAGCCTCCCAAGGCACGGGATTACAGGCTGAGCCACCGAGCCCGGCTGACTCTCCTTTCTTATATGTTTTGAGTCGGACTCTCACTCTGTTGCCCAGGCTGGAGCGCAGTGGCACGGTCACAGCTCACTGCAGCCTCAGCCTCCTGGACTCAGGCGATCCTTCCGCCTCAGCCTCCCGAGTAGCTGGGAGCAGAGGTGCACACCACCACGCTCGTCTATTATTTTGTATCGTTTGTAGAGATGAGGTCTCGCTGTGTTGCCCAGGCTGGTCTCGAACTCCTGGGCTCAAGCGATCTTCCCCCCTCGGCCTCCCAAAGTGCTGGGATGACAGGTAAGAGCTGCTGAGCCTGGCCCTGATATTTCAATTTTCAGAGAAACACTGAGGAAGGCCGCATGGCTCGTCGCAACTACGGGTTGTGATGAGTTACTATGCCCTGGAACGTTTCCTTCCTCCTGGAATCAGTGCTCAGGTGGGCCAAGGGGATCCCCTTGGTGACGCCTGACGTCTTCAGCTTACCTTCTTATACACGGAGGCCATGATGGTTGTCCGTACATTAATGCCCAGCATGAAGCACAGTTGAAAATAATACTGAAGGCAGACAGACTGGATGAGAGCCACCAGGAACATGAGGATGGCATAGACATACCCAGTCCACAGGTACATGTCGTGGTCATTTGCAAAGGAGATCAGCAACCTGCCAGAGCAAAACAAGGAGGTGACGCCCGCCAGGCCTCTGAGCACCTCACTCTCCCCTCTCCCCAGTCCCCCTGCGCTTATGCTGTAGGTGACAAAAGTGTCCAAGGCCTTCGGAGGACCTGAGCTCCACAGGCTAGCCAGTGCTTTTGTTTTTGAGTCAGGGTCTCACTCTGTCTCCCAGACTGGAGTGCAGTGGCGCGATCACAGCTCACTGCAGCCTCAACCTCCTGGGCTCAGGTCATCCTCCCGCCTCAGCCCCCCAGGTGGCTGGGACTACAGGCATGTGCCAGCACACCCCGCTAATGGTTTTGACTTCTTGTAGAGACGAGGTCTTGCTACATGGCCCAGGCTGGCCTCGATCTCCTGGGCTCAAGCAATCCTCCCTCCTCGGCCTCCTAAAGTGCTGGGATTGCAGGCATGAGCCGCGTCCTTGCTTTCGCTTGGGAGTGAGCCGTAGGAGCTCAGGGTTGACCACTCAGGGCTGTGAAAGGGGGCGATGATGCCAGAACCACAGTGCTGGGCCCATCCCCCCATGGCCCAGGGGACGAGGTGGCATGGACCGGCGATGCGTTTCTCCATCACGTACGCCCCACAGGAATCAGGATGTGTATCCTGCAGAAGTGGGGGAGGCTTCCCAGGGTGGCTCATACTGTCGGTCACCACAAGTCACAGAGTCACGTCGCCATGAGCCTGTGACTCTCTGAGGAGCGGTGAATGGAGGCCAGTGACTCTCTGGGACACAGCCCACCTCTCGGCCTGGCTCAGTGCACAGTAGCTTAACCAGAAAGAGCCCCTGCCAAGCACCCACTCCCGTGAGGCCAGGGACATGGAAAAGAGAGGTTAGCCCGGCTGTCATCTTGGATCGTTTTTTTGCTTTGAGTCGGAGTCTCACTGGGGCTGGGGTGGGCAGTGGCACGTTCACGGCCATCCCAGCATTGACCTGCTGGGCTCCGGCGATCCTCCCACCTCAGCCTTCCAAGTAGCTGGAACTACAGGTGTGCGCTACCACACCTGGCTAATTTCTTTAATTATTGTAGAGACAAGGTCTCGCTCTGTTGCCCAGGCTGGGCTCCAACAAGCCTCTCGACTCGGCTTCCCCAAGGGCTGGGATGACAGGCGTGAGCCACCACGCCCGGCCTCATCTCGGATCTTGAAAGCCACCCACACGCCTCATGCCCACCGTGCCACATCGAGAAAGAAATCTACGAGTGCATGTCACAACAGGAGTTTGATGACTGCACCTGTCTGCATCCACAGGGGCAAAGGAGGATGTCAGCGGTGACCTCAAGAGGCCCTTGGCCTGGGGACTCACTTGAGCAGCTGGGGGTTCAGGAACATGAAGAGGTCATGCACCAGCTTCAGAAGGAATGATTTGAGTAGCACCCCGTGAAAGCTCCAAAACAGGGCCTTGACCAGCCAGGACCTCGGCGTGTCTTGAGCGGCTCCGGTCTTCTTTTTCTTCTTTTTATCTTCTTCCTAGGCACAGAACCAAGCGACCACGGTGTCTGCAGGGCCACACGGTGAAAGGCTCTGCTCTGCCCCAGGCACTCCGGCTTGTCCAGCCCGGGAACTCCACCCTCCAACCTCTCTGCACAGGTTTCCATCGTGTCTACTTGTGACTTGGCCGTGCTCACCCTTCCAGTGGCCTGGACTGCGCCTCCCTCCCTCCCAAAGGATACTCGTTGTCTTTTTTGGACCAGAAGCCAGGCGCCTGAGCCGGTGGACTTCCCACGTCCTGCGAGGGGTGGCAAGCAGCCCCAAGAGTGAGGGGCCAGGACCGGACGGCAGAAACCCTTTCCATTGATTTCTCGCTCGCGGTTGCTGTGGGGGGCTGCAGGGTGGGCTGTGTCCCCCCCCCACGAGCTAGGCTGAAGGCCTCACCCCCAGGGCCTTCGCACGTGCCCTTACTGGGAATTGGGGCCTTGGCAGAGGGAGTCAGGTTAAGATGCGGCCACCAGGGCGGGTCCCAAGCCAATGTGACGGCTGTCCTCGCAGAGGAAGAGAAACAGACACAGGAAGAAGATGGCCACGAGACGGCGGGGGCAGAAACTGGAGGGCTGGGCAAGGGTCAGGCACCACCAAAGACGGCAGGCACGTGCCCAAAGGAGGGAGGGAGGCGAGGAGGGCTCTCCCCGCGGCTTACGAGGGAAGGCCCCTCCCACCTCCATTGCCGGTTTGTGGCACTTTATTGAGACGACCCTAGGAAACCACCATGTGGGCACCCAACTCTTTCTGCCGCAGCCTCCTTTTCTGTGTGTTGGCCTCCTTGGGACAGCCTCCTGAGTCTTGTCCTGTCCCCGACTTTAGCTTCTCAGCCTCGGCTTCCAGGTGTTTCTACCAGTGACATTCTTTTATTTTTTTTGAGTCAGAGTCTCAATCTGTCCGCCAGGCTGGAGTGCAGTGGAACACTCACGGCTACTGCAGCCTCGACCTGCTGGGCTCAAGCGATCCTGTCACTTCAGCCTTTCAAGTAGCTGGAACTACAGGCGTGTACCACCATGCCCAGCTAATTTTTTGATTTATTGGAGAGACGAGGTCTTGCCAAGCTGCCCAGACTGGTCTCGAATCCCTGGACTCAAGCAATCCTCTCGCCTCAGCCTCCCATAGTACTGGGATTACAGGTGTGAGCCACCATGCCCAGCTGATATCCTCTCTTAACCTCCTTCATGGAGGTCTATCCGGTCTATCCCTCTTGCCTGGACACTACTCCAGCCTCCTTTCGGCTTCCACGCCTGCCCACAGCGATGCCATGTCCAGGCAGCAGCCCAAGGAAGCTTTTAAGATACAAACTCAGGGCCAGGAGCGGTGGCTCATGCCTGCAATCCCAACACTCTGGGAGGCTGAGGCAGAAGGATTGCTTGAGCCCAGGAGTTGGAGACCAGCCTGGGCAACATAGTGAGACCTCATCGCTACATTAAAAAAAAAAAAAGGCTGGGCTCGGTGGCTGAACCTGTCATCCCAGCACTTTGGGAGGCCGAGGTGAGTGAATTGCCTGAGCCCGCGGGTTTGAGACCCACCCAGGCAACTTGGCGAGACCTCGTCTCTACAATAAATCAAAAATTACCCGGGTGTGGAAGCGTGCGCCTGTAGTTCTGGCTACTTGGAAGGGTAAGGCGGAAGGATCGCCAGAGCTCAGCAGGTTGAGGCTGCAGTGTCCGGGAGCACGCCACTGCACTCCAGTCTGGGCGACTGAGTGAGACTCCAACCCAAAAAAAAAAAAAAAATCAGAAAAAAAAAAATAGCCCAGTGTGGTGATGTACACCTTTAGTCCCAGCTAAAGGTGGGAGGCCAAAATGGGAAGATCACCTGAGCCCAGGAGGTCAAGGCTGCAGTGAGCTGTGATCATGCCACCGCACTCCAGCTGTGCAACAAAGACCCTGACTCAAAAACATATATGTATATGTAAATTTAATTGCATTGCTCCCATGATGGCCCAGGGGTCCACACAGCCTAGTAGTCCCTGTGCCCTTCCCGAGCTCACCACAGGGTCAGCCTCTCTCTCTTTCTTTTTTTTTTTGAGTTGGAGTCTCACTCTGTCGCCCAGACCGGAGTGCAGCAGCCTCGACTTGCTGGGCTCCGGCGATCCTTTCGCCTCAGCCTTCCAAGTAGCTGGAACTACAGGCCTGCGCTACCATGCCCGGCTAATTTTTTCATGTATTGTAGAGCTGAGGTTTCGCCTGCCTAGGTGGGTCTTGAACCCGCGGGCTCAGGCAATCCACTCACCTCAGCCTCCCACAGGCGCGGGATGACAGGCTGAGCCACCGAGCCCGGCTGTCAGCCTCTCTTGACGCCCCCGGATCTTGTTCCTGCTCCCTGACGTGTCCCTGCCTCAGCCGCACACTCCTGCGCCCTCTGACTGGAAGACACTTCCCTCTAGCTGTCCCTCGATGGGCCGTTTGCATCCCCAGGGTGTCTGTTCAGGTGTCACCTCCTCTGAGAACAGCCTCTATGTCCCTGTCTGAAGTAGCAATTCACTCCAAACACATGAACAAGTTTTACTTTCTGGTTTTTTTGTTTTTTTTTTGAGCCAGGGTCTCATTCAGTGGCCCAGGCTGGAATGACAGTGGCACGGTCACGGCTCACTGCGGCCTCAACTGCCTGGGCTCAGGTGACCCTCCTGCCTCAGTCTCCCGAGTAGCTGGGACTACAGGCGCGTGCCGCCATCCTTGGCTAATTTTTAATTTTGGGGGGGTAGAGACGAGGTTTCGCTATGTTGCCCAGGCTGGTTTCCAACTCCTGGGCTCAAATATACCTCCTACCTCGGCCTCCCAAAGTGCTGGGATTACAGAGGTGGGCTACTGCACCCAGCATGTTTTATTTTCTTGCTAGCTCCGACTGCTCTCCAAGAGTGTGTATGGGCTTACTGTGTGTTTTCTAGAACAGCTACTGACACACAGCTGTGCTCAATAAAGACTTTCAAGCGAATGAATCAACAAATTAGCTGCTAATGCTAACTTCCACCAAGGTGCAAATTCTAGCAATGCCAAGGTGTTATTAAAAAAAAAAGTACACATTTTGCTAAGGAAAATTTCAAATATACCCCAAAGCAGAGAGAATAACACATTACACCCCCATGTATCCATTACTCAGGTGTCATCAGGATTGGAAATACTATTATGATACAAAATGTAGTTCCAGCAATTTGGAAGGCTAAGGTGGAAGGGTCACCTGAGCCCAGTCAGTCGAGGCCGTGGTGGCCGTAAGCGTGCCACTGCATTCCAATCTGGGCGAGGGAGTGAGATTTGGACTCAAAGAAAAAAAAGCACTGGCCAGGCTCGGTGGCTCAGTTTGTAATCCCAGTACTTTGGGAGGCCGAGGCGAGTGGATTGCCTGAGCCCGCGGGTTCGAAACCAGCCTGGGCAACTTGGCGAAACCTCATCTCTACAAGAAATCAAAAAATTCGCCGGGCGTGGTAGCACAAGCCTGTAGTTCTGGCTGCTTGAAAGACTGAGGTGGAAGGATCGCCGGAGCCCAGCAGGTCGAGGCTGCGGTGGCCGGGAGCGGCCGCTGCACTCCAGTCTGGGCGACAGAGACTCGGACTCAAAGAAAAAAAACACCAAGAAAAGCATGAAGTGCTGGGAAAACGTAAGGACAGCGTTGCCAGGACGTGTCATCCTCTTGCCCGAGATGCGCTGACGCCCACACAGACACTCGCGGAAAGTTACCAGGACAAGGACGTCTTGGCTTTGACTCTCGGTCTTGGCCAGGCTGTGCAGCCGGGCTTTCGGGCCCTGCGGGAGGGCCTTCTGCCGCCGCCTCTGGAGGGCCCGCCGGGCTTTCTGCAGCTCCCTCGCCATATGCGTCTCAGACTTGCTCAGCAGGGCCTTGGTTTTCACCGCTTCATCCATTTCCCAGACATCTTCGATTGTCAGAGGGTGCTTGTAACCTTTCAGAACGATGCTGGAACGAGAGGACCCACAGGCTGAGACACCCCCAGGCCGGGTCAGAGGCCGCCTTCCTGCTGCCTCTGGGAACCTGCCTCCAGGGTCTGGGCCGGAGGGACCAGAGGATTGGAGTATAACATTTCAAATATACCCCCAAAAGCAAGAATAGCACATTATACCCCCGTGTATCCATCACTAAGGGGTCACTGGTACTGGGAATACTGTTAGTAAAACACAACGCACCGAGAAGGCCAGGCACGGTGGCTCACACCCGTAATCCCGGCGCTTTGGGAGGCGCAAGGATGGCCTCCCCATCTCCTGGCCCCTTGAGAAGTGGGGAGGGCAGAAAGAAGAGCAGGTGGGAGCCACGGAGTGTGTTAGAAGACAACAAGGGGGGAGGGGCACTCCCGAATTAAGAGCCCAAAGAGGCCGGGCGCGGTGACTCAGGCCTGGAATCTCAGCACTCTGGGAGGCTGAGGCAGGAGGATTGTTTGAGTCCAGGAGTTCGAGACCAACCTGGGCAACCTCATCTCTATAAAAATTTTCTAAAATTAGCCAGGAATGGTGGTGGGTGCCTGTAGAACCAGCTACTAGGGAGGCTGAGGTGGGAGGATCGCCTGAGTCCAAGGGGTCAAGGTTGCAGTGAGCCATGAGCATGCCACTGTACTCCAGCCTGGGCAACAGAGGGAGACCCAATTTAAAAAAAAAAAAAGAAAGACAGAGAAAAAGAGCATCCTTTGCCCTGCCCCCACTCCTTCCTCCCAAGCACTGGCGGCCTCTCTGCCACTCTGGCGCTTCCTTTGGGGCCTCTGTGATGCCTCAGAATTGAAGCAGTCACTGTGGCTTCCTCCAGACACGCTCTCTAGATCAGGGCTCCCAGACCCGGAGTTTGAGAACATGGATGGAAGGCAAATTATATCTTTATTCGTCGTAGCTTTTAACTGAAACCGAGCCTTTGAAAATTCCGGCTAGGCCAGGTGTGGTGTCTCACACCTATAATCTCAGAACTTTGGGAGGCTGAGGCGAGAGGATTACTTAAGTCTGGGAGTTCAAGACCAGCCTGGGAAACAACATAGCAAGACCCCATCGCTGCAAAAATTCAAAAATTAGCTGGGCGTGGTGGTGCACGCCTGTAGTCCCAGCTACTTGAGAGGCTGAGGCAGGAGGCTCGCTTGAGCCCAGGAAGTTGAGGCTGCAGTGAGCTATGATTGCACCACTGCACTCCAGCCTGGGTGACAGAGCAAGACCCTGCCAAAAAAAAAAAAAAAAGAAAGAAAGAGAAAGAAATCCCAGAGGTTTCTACAGCTTACTTCATACTCACCACCACTTTGAAATTACAATGATTATCAGACTCATCCCTGGACCCTGTTATCGAATGTATTACCACATCACAAATGTGTTGGTTAAATATCTCGATGACTATTATTTCAGTACATTTGGTTTCTTTATCATCCTGTGTCTTTTTCGTTCTGTGCATCTAAAACGCTCTCTGAGAAGGGACCCCTGGCCTCCCCAGCCCACCTAAGGGTCCTCGGAGCTGTGGCGGCCATGACGCCCGTTGCAGACGCTCTGGTGGTCCAGGCCAGCTGTCCCCACTCCCCTCCCAATCCGTGCCTTCCTGCCTGCCTCTGAGTGTCCCCTCTCCTCTCCTGTGGGCCCCCAGGCTCCCAAAAACAAACTCCCCCCATTCTCTCTTCCACATCCCGGCCTGTCTCATGAAGGGGCTAAATTAAAGTGGCCAGAAGAAGGCCTGAAAGTTTTGACACTCTCTGAGTCTAAGTAGGCGAGTTGGAGGTCACAGGGGGAGTTTTATTTTATTTTATTTATTAGTATTATTGGAGCTGGGGTTTCACTCTGTCACTCAGGCTGGAGTGCAATGGTCATCACATCACGGACCACCACAGTCCTGACCTCCTGGGCTCAGGCGCTCCTCCTGCCTCAGCCTCCCAAATAGCTGGGACTACAGGTGTGTGTCACCATGCCTGGCTAAATTTTTTTTTTTTTTACATCTTTGGTACAGATGAGGCCTTGCGATGTTGCCCTGGCTGGTCTCAGACGCCTGGACTCAAGTCATCCTTCCATCTCAGCCTCCCAACGTGCTGGGATTGCAAGTGTGAGCCACCACGCCACGCCCAGCAGGAGGCATTTTAAAAATGAAGCTTTCTCTCCCTTTCCGGAGGGCGAGGGAGTAGGCATAAGGATGCCCTACCTGTCATACCAACTGAAGGTGATGCTACTCAGAAATGAAGCCGTGGAAAATGGATTCTGAAAGACACAGAAACGTGAAAAGTGAATCCAGTGGAGACGGGAGCTCTGTGGGAGTCCACAGTCAGAAACTGACGTTTGAGGATGAGAGGTTGTGCTAGAAACTCGATAAGATGCTGAAGTCGGGGTCGGCCTATGCGTATCTGGGAACTCCGAGTCCACTGGGAGAGCGCTTATAAGACCTTCCGGCACGGACCGTGAATGACTTGCCTGCGCTGAAGTTTGGCAAGTGGAAGTAAAAGTCGGTATTTAGTGCCTACAACACGATCTCGTTCCTTCTGTCATCAAATGACCTGAGCTGCCTCCTCTGGGCTGGCGGGACATCCACGAGACCCAGACATCTTGGGGTTATATTGGTTACGCTGCCATCCCACTAAGGAATATGTGAGACGGGCACATTTAGCATCTCACTTTTGACGAGTCGACGTTTTCCGAAAACGCTGAGAAGATCAGGACCAGGATCTGGAACCCATAGGAGATGAAGAACAGACAGGAATAGGTCAGGTTAGAGCTGTCGCCCTGTGGGGGGAAACAGTCAAAACAGAGAAAATGAGCCTTCTGCCAAGTGACGTCTCTGTGGCCCATGTAGCCCTCCGCGCTGTGAAGAAAGCCCGACAGCGGGTCCCGGGCACAGTTCTCTCCTGGGGTGCGCCCTGCCTGAGGCCATCTACTCTGACGTGCACGTCGCCCAGAGGGCCGCCGCGAGTCACCCGCTCTCTCCTCCTTACCCGTAAGAGTGTCCGGATCAGAGTCTGAAACTGGAAAGTGCCACAGAGGATCGAGAGAATCCAGAACAGGGACAGGTACCACGAGTTTTTCTGGACACACCGTTGCCTGCTGTGCTGGACCAGTAAGACCAGGAGCTGGGAAGAAACTCGTGTGAAGCTCTGAAGGACAGGGCCACCATCCCAGGGAGAGAGGGGAGAGGGGTGTCGGCTACAGGCAGGTTGAGGAGGGAGCTGCTGTCACAGATCTGGTCAGCTGGGCGCACGGCTGCTGGCTTACTCTTTTCCCATCTGCATTTTAATTTATTTTTTTCTTGAGAAACGAAGTCTCACTATTTTTCCCAGGTTGGTCTCAAACTCCTGGCCTCACAAGCAGTCCTCCCACCATGGCCTCCCAGAGTGCTGGGATTGCAGGCATGAGCCACCACACCCGGCCTTACTCTCGGTATTTTAGAGTTGCTTTGGGGGCTTGAAAAACCTTTTCAGGACCCAAGGCTATTAACTTCAGGCCCTGCCATAGTAAGCCCAGGAAGGCCGGTTCTGAGGAATTAGATGCAAGGTGTCTGTGCCTTGATTTTCTAATATCAGGCTAAGCAATTTAGTCTTAAAAAAAAACAAAAAACAAACTGTTGCAGGCCGGGCATGGTGACTCAAGCCTGTCATCCCAGCACTTTGGGAGGCCGAGGTGAGAGGATTGCCTGAGCCCAGGGGTTTGAGACCAGCCCAGGCAACTTGTTGAGAAACCAGAAAGTGCCACAGAGTATCGAGAGAACCCAGAACAGGGACAGGTACCACTAGTTTTTCTGGACACACCATTGCCTGCTGTGCTGGACCAGCAAAGCCAGGAGCTGGGAAGAAATTCAGGCAAAGCTTTGAGGGACAGGGCCACCGTCCAGGGGAAGGAGGGGAGAGGGAAATCAAAAAATCAGCCGGACATGGTGGCGTGTGCCTGTGGTTCCAGCTACTTGGAAGGCTAAAGCGGGAGGATCGCCTGAGCCCTGCAGGTCGAGGCTGCAGCGGCCGTAAGCGTGCCCTTGCACTCCAGCCTGGGCGACGGATTGAGACTCCGACTCAGAACAAAACAAAACAAAGCAAAAAAAAACGCTTGCCTTGTGTCGTCTCAGAGTATTGATTTCCTAGACCCAGTGCGCGCCAGTAGGCCAGCATTCTGGAGATGGGAGGGGGGAGTTGCAGCATTTGCCAATTTTCATGGTGTCAATACTCTCACTATGGTGGATTTCAAGCTCCAACATGATGTCATAAACGCAGGGTTGGAAGGAGGCAGGTACCGTCAGCTCCATGTGAGCCGGCTCCAGCAAAGCCTGGCCCAGACCCGTCTCCCCTTGTTCTACCACAGCGGTAATGAATAAACATGGCGACAGGAGCCAGGCAGACTGTGTTACCCAGTGACGGGTGAGAGGTCAGGGGACTGAGTACATGGTCGAAAGGGAGCGACTTCTGTTTAGGACCATCTGACGCTGCCCCGTGGGAATGTAGGCCCCCGGTTGCCAGACATTCTGATTTTTCAATAAAGTCTGAAAAGTCAAATAATCAGTGTCATCTTCCTCTTTTAAAATGATGGCAATGCGTCTGTTTGGTGTTTATGTGTTTGCTTTGTTTTTTTGAGCTGGAGCCTCCCACTTGTCACCCAGGCTGGAGTGCAGTGGCATGATCACAGCTCACTGCAGCCTCGACTTCCTGGGCTCAGGCGATTCTTCCACCTCAGCCTCCCGAGTTGCTGGGACTACAGGCATGCACCACCACGCCCGATTAATGTTTTAATTTTTTGTAGAGACGCGGTCTCACTATGCTGCCCAGACTGGTCTCGAACTCCTGGGCTCAAGCAGTCCTCCCTGCCTTGGCCTCCCAAAGTGCTGGGATGACAGGTGTGAGCCACTGTGTCAGGCTCAATTGTTGCTAAACATGGTATAGGGCCCCCCCAGAGACACGCCTGCAGGGGACACATCAGTGTCTGACATCATTTATACAAACAACTCTAGACTCAGGGATCCATTGATAAAGTCACTGGTCCATCCATTTAAAAATGATATTGACAGCATTTTAAAAATTCTTTTACACGAATAAACTTAGATGTCCTCTGTGATCCTTAGAAAGCAAGCTTTGAAGGCATACGATATTCATCTTAATTGAAGTTAATCCTTAACCCAGGGAGAAGGCTCTATAAATTAGTGTTCAAAATGAGATGAAAAGCTAAAATTTGTTTCACCCCATTCCAGCAAAGCTTTGTCTTACTCTAGGTTCCTTGGAAAAGACAGGTGAAATTGGACCTCATCTTATCCCCAAAGAGTAAATTTCAGTCATATACCTACAAGAAAAGAGAAGGTGAACAGTGCGGAACTGGTGAGACCTTACCCATGTGACTAGGTAGAGGCTCGGATTGGTATATCTAATAGCAGGGACCGCGGCCTGTCCAGAGTCTTCTGTGAGTACAAGGGCCAGCTCGATGGCTGCTAGAATCAGAAGAAGTCCAACGAACACCTGGGAAGGGAGAAAGGCCACCGTGAGGAGGGTATCATTCTTTCTAAGAGTCTTAGAACACAATGGTTCCCAGTAATGGATAAGAAAAATGGTATGTGGTGATTCCGATAACACACTCAATTACTATTTCCGGAATGAATGGGTACATAGATGTAGTTCAACTGATGGAATAACGTTCAAAGTATGTCCTGATTAAGTGTTTCTGAGGAATGCTGGCTGTGAAGTTTTTAAGTATGTCCACAAGCCGAGCACGGTGGCTCAGGCCTGTGATCGCAGCACTTTTGGAGGCTGAGGCGGGAGGATCACTCGAGGCCATGAGTTCAAGACCAATCTGGGCAACATAGCGAGACCGCGTCTGTACAAAAAATTTAAAGATCAGCCAGGTAGGGTGGCATGCGCCTTGTAGTCCCAGCTACTCAGAAGGCTGAGGTGGGGGGAGGATTGCCTGAGCCCGGAAGGTTGAGTATGACACTGCCCTGCAGACTGGATAACCGAGTGAGACCCCAGCTCAAAAAATAATAACAATAAAATAAATATTTCTGGGGTGAATGGATATACATAGTTCAAGTGACGGAATAATGTTCAAGATATGTCAGGAGAAGTGTTTCTGAGAAATGCCCACGAGACCCGCCTGGGCAACTTGGCGAGACCTCATCTCTACAATAAATCAAAAGATTAGCTGGGCGTGGTAGCGCATGCTTGTAGTTCCAGCTACGTGGAAGGCTGAGGCGGAAGGATCGCCAGAGCCCAGCAGGTCGAGGCTGCAATGGCCGGGAGCGGCCACCGCACTCCAGTCCGGGCGACAGAGTGAGACTCCGACTCACACACACAAAAAGGAAGCAGTGTGGATTCTTTCTCCTTGCTCTCTCTCAGATCACTCACTCTAGGGAAAGTGGCCAGCCCTGTCATGAGGATACTCCACTAGCTCCAGGGAAGGGTCCACTTTGTAAGGAAGTGAGACCGTCTGCCAACAGCCAGTGAGAAACAGTGGCTTCCTCCCACTAGCATGTAAGAGAGTCATCTTAGAAGCAGATTCTTGGCAGGGCTCTGTGGCTCAGCCTGTGATCCCAGCACTTTGGGAGGCCGAGGTGAGTGGATTGCCTGAGCTCGTGGGTTCAAGACCAGACCGGGCAACTTGGCGAGACCTCATCTCTACAATAAAATAAAAAACTAGCCAGACACGGTAGTGAGCACCTGTAGCTCTGGCTACTTGAAAGACTGAGGCAGAAGGATCACTGGAGCCCAGCAGGTCAACACTGGGGTGACTGTGAGCGTGCCGTGGCACTCCAGCCTGGGCAACAGAGTGACACTCCAATTCAAAAAAAAAAGAAGAAGAAGAAGAAGCATATTCTTTAATCCCAATCAAGCCTTCAGATGACTGGGGCTCCAGCCAGCACATATTGAGGGACTGAGCCTGACCTTTTTTTCCCCTCTTACCCAAATTCCTAATTAAGAGGCTTAGGGAGTCATGCCTGATCCATCTCACGTGTATTTATTTGTGGTTTTTGTAACTTGCGCCTCCCTGAGCTGTATATAACCAAGCTACCATTCAACCACAGGGACACATTTCTCAGGATCGCTTGAGGATGGGTATTCCTGGGCCTGAGGTTGCTCAGATTAGCCAGAATAAACAATCTTAAAATATTTTACGGAGCTTGGCATTTTTTTCATCAACAAATTAGCACTCAAGACATGGGGCCTCACAGGAGACTTCAGAAACACTGGAGGAGTCGTCCAAACCCAGAGTGGGTGCCAGTGACTGTTTATTGAAGCCCCTCTGACTCTGTGCTTCTCCTCAGATGATCTGGTAAGTTTCTGCTGAGCCTTGGACGTCGCACTTGGGTTGATGGTCCCTGGTCTGTCTGAGCTGGTTTTCTCTCCCCGGGAGAGTGTTTGGGCTGCAAACTTGGATTCTGAGGTGCATTCTAAAGGGCTTTCTCCATTGCCTTTTCTCTCTTCTTTTTGAGAAAAAAAGGAAATAGAGTCTCTAAAAGGGAGAAAAGGCAAAGACAACAACCCTCTTCAGCTTCCCCAGCTGGGTTTGTATTTGAAAGAAGTTCAAAAGCATGCCAGGTTTCCTGAGACTCCAGCTGGTTAGATACTATGGCCAATTTTTATGCAAGTTTAAAAACTGATGGGCAAACTACAGCAAGGAAAATTCAGAGTTCAAATGTTAGCCTGCAGCTATAGGGTTAAATAAAATCTTCTAAGCTATTTCTCTCTTTACTTTTCTGCCTGCTTTGAATTTGCTGTTTACTAAGCAACTGAAAGAAACTAGAAAGGAGCAGGGCTTGGTGGCTCAGCCTGTAATCCCACGCCTTGGGAGGCTGAGGTGAGTGGATTGCCTGAGCCCGTGGGTTCGAGACCCGCCTGGGCAACTTGGTGAGACCTCATCTCTACAATAAATCAAAAAAATTAGCCGGGCGTGGTAGCGTGCGTCTGTAGTTCCAGCTACTTGGAAGGCCGAGGTGGAAGGATCGCCAGAACCCAGCAGGTCGAGGCTGCGTCGGCCGAGAGCAGCCACTGCACTCCAGTCTGGGCGACAGAGTCAGACTCCAACTCAAAAAAAAAAAAAAGAAACTTGAAAGGAACCCGTAAGTAGGAGATAGAGGTGTGAAGAAAGTTAGAGACATGAAGATGCATTTTTGGTAAGGAAGATTATAAATAAAAGGGAATAATTGTCTATAAGAAGGGATTTCATATGGTAAATTTTTGTCCTGAGGCAAAATGACTGGATATTTGAAAATGGGGAACGAACAGGGCAAAACAGAAAGTCCAAACATGTCATAGATGGTCTGCGTAAGTTGTTACAATGTTCATGAAGGGGAATTAATGAAAGGAATTTTGATGTGATTAAGTGGGCTATAATTTAAGATAAATAATTTTAAATTATTGATTCCTTTGTGTGTGTGTATGTGCTGGAGTCACTCTGTTGCCCAGGCTGGAGTGCAGTGGCACACTCCCGGCCACTGCAGCCTCGAACTGCTGGGCTCCAGCGATCCCTCTGCCTCAGCCTTCCAAGTAGCTGGAACTACAGGCGCGTGCTACCATGCCCAGCTATTTCTTGATTTATTGTAGAGATGAGGTCTTGTCAGGTTGCCCAGGTTGGTCTCGAACCCGTGGGCTCAGGCAGTCTTCTCACCTTGGCCTCCCAAAGTGCTGGGATTATAGGCGTGAGCCACTGCACCCGGCCTAAGATGACTGATTTCTAAATATTGATCCCCTATGTGAAAACAATTTTCTTAAGGTATTGATTTGCTCTTAATAAAATTACAAGAAGTTTTGATTTTTTAATTCTATAGACTGTTTCTTTTTGAAACTTTTCAGACTTGCATCTCAGAAGCTCAGCTTTTGCTGTGTCTTGCTGCTTTCAGCTTTTTCTTCCCTTGAGAAGGACTGAGATGATAACTCTCATTCAACTTTTTTGTCAGAGCCTGCAACTTTTTGTTCTTTCTCCAGTTCTAACTGCTGTTGTGTCCTGATGCTAAAATTTTTTTATCTTGAAGTTCTGGAAAAGTAATATTTTCCTCTAGTACAGCTTAATGCTGTACTCTTGGCCTTTCTTGATATGTCTAAACTTTGGTGTCATCAGGAATTTTCTTTTGTGTTACTAATATTCATGTATTCCCTTACTTAGTACTGGTTTATTGATTCTTGTTTCCTCTAAAATATAATGTTCACTTATGACCCTGGGCACACTCTTCTCAGGTCTGATTAAGTCAAGTATTTTTCTTTCATCAGGTTTGACTTTCAGTTTATTTAAACGGGTTTCCCGTAAGGAGAAACAGTAACAATACAGAAGGCTTTTCTCTCCTCTTTTGGTAACTGGTCTGAAAAACAATGATTCTATGTTTCGTCAAGATAATTTCTATGTTGCCTTTTTTAGACCTTTTATTACTTAGGAAAACTGAGCTTAAAAAATTCAGGTTTTTACATCCATGTACCTATTGCTTTTAAGGTTTTTCATTATTATCTTGGTTACATGGTTAACTATTATTTTACAACAATCTGTGATTCTGTTTTAGTCAAATGCTCCAAACCTTCTTATAACTTTGATGAACATTCTATTAACTCATCCTTGTGCTGTTAAGTTACAGAGCTTTTGCCCCTGGGTCTAAAAAGGCAACAAATCCTGACAAGTCACACCATTTGGGGCCTCATCCTCCAACCTGGGGAAGATGACGACAAAAATGAACTGCCCTTGTGAGACACAGGGCCAGAAATTAAAGTTATTCAGTCTCCCTAGACCCAGGGGCTATAGTGGAAGAAGTAGCCATGTAAGATTGTAAGGGATGGTTTTAAGAGATAAAATGAATTCAGTTTGTTTACAAAGTAAACATTAATATTCAAACCACACTGCTGGAAGGCCAAAGTCTGGGTCCCTGTGTCAAAATAACAGAGTTTTCTTGGCGTACTGGTCTCTAATAGAAAACTAAAAAAAAATTATTAAAAGTTTATAGAAATCTCACCTTATGGTCATAGTAATTAAGATGAAATGGATTTGTTTACAAGGGCTTATTACAATCAGTTTTAATATTAAGAATATACTATACAAAACTGCAGTTTGATTTTATCTTCTGAACAAATCTTCATATAATATTAATGAAAAGTAATAAAAAACTTCTGTTCACCTTTTTGTTAATAAACCAAAGGGAAAGAAGAAAAGAGAAAAAGATTAGCTAGGCTCAAGCCATCTTCATTAAGTCTTTATTGTTTAAGCAACTGAGTCTCTTCTCTATCAGAGAATATGGAATTTTGCTTTTAAAATCTTTACTTATTATTTTGGCTAAATGATTGTCTATTTTACAGTGAGCCCATTTTGTAATATCAAATGTTTAATCACTTTTGATATCTGACAAGCCTTCCAGTAGCAAAATTTCGGGATCTAAATTCAATCTTTCTGACCTTCTTAAACTTTTTTTAGATATTAGGTTTCCTGAAGCCCAAGAGAGACATATTCGGCTTGTTTGATAAATTAGACAAGAGGCATTGTCAAATAC